AGTGTGAATTCTAGCTAATTAACTCAAACCAGAAATTACCATTGAAACTTGAAAATCTGAATTACATCACATAAACAGATTATACCCAGCAGTAGTCGAAAACGATAAAAATAATATGATGATTTAGTGGGTTAGAAAGTGAGACTGAATCTAAAAGATGAAATATAGTGCCCGTAAGCTACATAACAAAATTCTTTGATTGGCTATTTATAATAAAACATTGAGTGATCCATAATAAAGTTCATGGACAATGGTTCCTTTCTGCGTCAACTCACCCATTCTCATGCACATTGCCACATTGTAAGATATATAAAAAGATAGCTAACCAAGCCTAAAACAAACCTGTTCGAACGCAGGCTGTGGCTTGCCTCTGCAGAAGTTAGACAGTGTCCAAGTAGCATTTCTGAGCATAGACAGTTTGGCATGTTCGTTCAACTGAGCTAGCAAAGGACCCAAGGCTCCATGACCAAGCACAAGGTCACGACATTTTGGGGAATCACCAGCCACATTTCCCAAAGCCCATACAGCCTAAATCATAAAACAGAACAGCCAGATTATGATTATTCTTATTCAAAAGTATCCCAGTTTTATGCTAGATATGCATTGGCAGGAAATTAATCAGCATAAAATGCTCCAGAAGCAAAACAGAATAACTCTTGAACATAATAAACACACCTGTTCACGAACATCATCACTTGGAGAACCAAGAAGCTTCACAAATACTGGGACGGCTCCATGATCAATTACTACCTTAGTGTGCTCAGATGTGCCAGAAGCAATATTAGTCAGAGCCCAAGCTGCCTCAAACTGCATTAACATTTAGAAACTAAAGTTACAAGACATATTATTTTAAAACTTAAAGGAAAGAGAACACTAATAGACTCAGAAGCAGATTTTAAGCCACAAAAAGTTGATTTACAGCAAGACCTGAAGTTGTGGGAAGTCCTCCCTCATTAAAAATTCAACAAAGCGGGGGACGACACCTGCATGAATCACCTCCTGAATTGGCGGACTGCGCTCTGCAGAAATCAATATTAGATTATAGGAAAATGATAATAATAACTAAGTTGAAGCAGAAACAGTTCTTTCTATAACCCAAATTATTTAGAACACAAGTAATCACCGATAGAAAGTAATTTCCGGAACTGGGTTGTTGCCTCAAGCTGCCTACTGGCATCATCTGTCCAAACACTAGCGACCATTGATGGTAGATTCTCTAACTGCACCTACAATCAAACCAAC